GCGGTGCAGCTGTCGGTGGAGGTGCCGTGGAGGAGGACGTTGAGTCGTGCTGCGGCAGCAGTGATTCTAGGGAAGTCGAAGGTGAATATGGGCGGCGGACGGTGGCGGAATGCGGTGGCAGGATGTGCAGGTGGTGTGGGGAGAGAGAATCATGTGTGTTGTTGCTGCCATGTAGGCATCTTTGCCTCTGCAACATTTGTGGGAGTGGGACCACCCCTGTCAAATGCTGCCCAGTATGTAAATCTGCCATGACTGCCACTTTGCACGTTAACACGTCTACTTGATCAAAGGCCATGTCAGAAATTAGCATAAAAAAACAGTAATTATACATTTTGGTTGTACATTACTGTAAATTTGTTTAGCGAATTAACATAATTTGTTTATTCTTTTATCGCATTTCATTTTTAATCGTATCTTATTCGTTATATCATCTAGTCAATATCTACTTATCGAGGAAAATGTATTAAAGGGTACAATGTCGACATTGGTTCACTTTTTAAATTTTGACGGCAAAAAAGAAATGGTTAAAGAACTGAAAGTTGTTCAGCATATATTGAGTTGGAGTTTCCTGGCCAACTTTTGCCGGGCATCCTACTTTTTAACTGGTCCAAGTTTTGAGTTTATGGGTATATTGAATATTGAGTAATGCTATTCATAATGAAAATTATCGGTAGTAGTCGTCGTCTTACGTGATATATACATGTCGATTTGTTATTTAATTCATAAGGTAATATAAAATTATCACATTAATACATCAAATAACAAAATTTCACATGTAGGTCACTATGAATAATATTACTCTTCAATATCAGGAGCAAAAGTTGCAGTGGGAATTGATGACACAATTGGCAAGAATATTGGAGTGTGTGAAAAACACAGTTGAATAGTCAATATTATTAATGGATTTTCAGACATATCGATAATATAATATTTTGCACTCGTTTGAGTTGGAGAAAAAAAATGCATTTTAAAATAGTGATTTTGGGAACATGTGTAGTTAAAAAGAAGGAAAAAATTTCGATTTACGTGTAAAATTATTTTAGTGAAAAATGTAATTGAAAATGAGTTTTGAAAAAAAATGAAACTTTAGCCCTTGAATGATGGTTATTAAAATAAGATTTTTAGTATATTTTGATAAAAATTGATGAAATGCGTAGTTGAAAAGTTGTCAGTCCTATAAAATATGTACTCGAGAATACAACTTATTTATATTCTAAATTGAATTGAACGTATTGGAAAATGAGGTAATTGTTAGGAATATTGGGCCTAACTCCACCTAATAAAACCGGCTTATTAGGGGAGGATTGTCCTTACCTTAGTAAGTGGATCATTTATATTTTCTCA